GTATAGAGTATAGGCGTATAGCCGTTAAATTTGTCCGGCAAAAAGGGGATTGAAAGGTTCGATAGGAATTTCAATTCAACCCAAGTGCATTGGACGCCGACGGTTCGTCGGGGGCAGCAGCGAAAATGGTTCGGCAAAAGAATGAAAAAAAAAAAAAGAGCTTTGGAAAAAAAAAGAAAAACTTTAAGACCAGGAGTGGAGAAACTGTGAGCCATTAATCTTGGCAGCCAACAACTGATGTAAACCCATAAATTACTTTCCTCTTTCCCCTTTCACTCTATCACTACCCTGCTCTTTTTAAAGTTACCCCCTCTCTTTATCTCCACCCTCAATAGTGAGATTGAATGCGCGTGGATAAAAGCGTATATATACGCGTTTATATATATATATATATTTGTATACATAAATATATATACACTCGCTTATATATATAAATATATATGTGTGTGTGTATCCGAATATATGCAGATATAGGATATATACATATAGCCAAAGCATATTTAAATGCGATTTTTGTTTGCTTAACTGAACGAAGTGTATCTTAAGTGAATATTCTAAATGTTTATAAACGAATAATATATTGATTAATTAAAATTAAATTTGATTATGGTGACTTGGAGAACAATTTCTATTATAAGACTTAAAATTAAATAAAAAAATATATATACGTGCAAAATTATACCACTACAAACAGTAGGTAAACATGTTTACATTTACAAAGAGAACAAAGAGAATTTTTTTATTCCAATAAAAAAAATCGGATATTTATCTGAAACCATAACACCAAAAATTGTTTTGCTTCGACAGTAAAATATATGTGTACCACACTCGTTTATATATTAGTATGCGCAAACACGCTTTTAACTAATTAGCAATGATGTCGGATATTATCTGTTTTGATCACAACTTCTACCGCTGGTCACACGTAATCGATCGACAAACCGTAATTTATCATTAGATCAAATTTGCATAACATGGCTAGTTAGTTATAAAATTAAGCATTGGAACAAACATCGGTGTAACCCGTAATATTTTACGACACATTAAAAAAATAAAACGGGATGAATTACCAATCACCACACACGCATAAATATGTACACGTATTGAATTTATACGAAATAAATAAATATTATCAGTGAATTTGATATAATCATAATTTATTATTCTTATTATTTATTAATGTAGTGTCATCTTTAATGTTATTATAATCATCGTAATAATTATGCGTGCGGTGTAAATACGTGCTTAAGTATACGTTATTTTTATCAATGAAAAAAGGAGTAGCTAATAAAACGTTCGAGTTTTTTTTTTATAAATTAATCATAATACGAATTATGCTTATTTATTTCGTTTTATGTGGTTTGATAAATCCTCGTCCATAAAGATAATAAGTCCCCTGAAACACGATCGTAAAAGAGTAAGTGCGTATAAATGGGATATGCAAATAAAACACAACCAAATTTCGCGAAAATTGTTTGAAATAAACAATGGGAAAATCCTTAGCGAAACCAGAGCAATAAAAAGAAAAATGAAGTGTACTGAAGAATTAATAAATGAAAATAAAAAAATAAAATGCTTTTTTTTCGGGATTATAAATTTATTCCTGTGAATAATTAAAAAAGTAACGGGTATTTTTTCGATTATTGTCACATTTTATTCATAAAACTCGTTGTTGTGTCAATAACGAACGAAACGTACAGTTTCAATAGATTTAATTGCCACTAAAAGACCACCTACCAATAATAAATAATGTTTACATATACATCGTTTCATCTGGCTCGCGGCTCTAACAGTTGATACGAAGAAGTGAATTAGAGTAATGACAATAATATCCGTCTGGGGGGTCCAATATCATTTAATTTATAAGTATGAGAGACACGAACAATGAATACACACTTGTGGTACACGTTGAAACAATGCGCGAAATTGAAGAGATTGACGCGTGAGGTTAATTTTTCATTACTACATTTAATCTCAGACTCGGTTACATAAATATATATATATATATGTGCGTTACATAATATTATGTTGATGTACAACTGTGGTGCGCCCGTAAAAAAACTTGTGCGGACGCAGAAATGTTCGAAAAGAAAAAAACAATAATATCGCAATTCTATCAACGCAAATTATTTATCGTACACGAGAGACGGGAAACACGTCTACTATATATTTATCATATTCATACGCGTAAGTATATATGTGTGGCTGCGTATATTTTAAGTTACGAATTACGAAATAGAATCGCCGTCTTGTACCCGTAAACGCATCAAACAAATAATATATATATATATTCATGTATACTTGTGCCTACTATGCAGTAGTGCAACACGAAACGATAATAAATAACGAACTCGGTACGTACGATAATCGCAAAGGAGATTTAGAAGCCATAAGAAAGGAAAAAAAAATGTCTTATCTTGCCGGTGAGGGCCAGAAAAAAGAAACACATAATATCGTATTTTATTTTGTTATAACTGTCGATCTTCGATATAGACCACTTAACTCTGTCGGTTATTCAATCAGTCTCTGATACTTTCAGACACTGCAACGCAACAGACGAAGGAGGAGAACTCATTAGACAAGTCCAGACGTTTCTATTAAGCGCGTTCATTCATGTTGTTCTCATCGAAATATATGTTGCTGACGTGTTTTTTGACGTGTCCACTATATTGCTCGGCCGATGTTAATACCGTCTGTATTAATATTATTTTACACGCGTTCGGCGACGAACACGACGAAGCGGTTTTACTAGACATAAAAGCGACTGCACACAAAAGTAATGGCGGTAAATCATATACGAATAATACATATATACACATACTCATACATAAATACATATATATATATGTATATAAATATTTCCAAGTGAGGTAGAATGGTGGTATGGTTGGACGGAATAAGTGAGAGAGAGAGTGAGAGAGAGAGAGAGAGGTTTGTTGGTTGCCGGGACAACGAGGAATTTTAATTATTACGATCAGGCTTAAGGGGGCAAGCATCGCTGGTGCGACCCATACCCACAGTGTTACCAACGGCAACGGGGAATGGTGCCGACCGGTACGGGAAAAAAAGGGGTAGGTATACATATATATATATCTATGCGGGGTGAAAGATAAAAATATAACTAATTTCAAATGTCCATTTGAACCCCACAAAATGTATCCTTTTTCTCTATGTGTCTCGATTCCACTCTTGCTCGTATACAGCATATATATAATATAATATATATACACGCATAAGCCACGCATAAATTAAACCAAGTTTTTATTTAGTATGAAACAAAAAGAAAGTACGGGCCAAGAATCAAAAATGTAAAATAAAAAAATATTAGTACACATATAATAAAAAATAAATGTTATTCTTTGGTTTCGCATACTAAATTCTAATTCATAATCTATACTATATATAAAACGAATTCAATACAGTAACGGTCTAATAAAATGTAGTTATATCCATTACTCGTGAACTCGATAAAATTACATTTGCATAATAGCTGAAATTACACTGTGGTTATTATTTTATTACGAAAGTAATCGGTCTAATTTAATTAAATTACTTTTAATGTATTTTAGAGAGTACTTAATATCAAATAAGTGTATTTCCATTATTTCTCGAAGAAAATACCATATAAATTCAACTTTATATATTGGCAGAAAGAAAATATTAAACTATTAAGTAACAAAAATAAATGAACTTACAAAAATCTAAAAAAAACTTTTGAATTACACCTACACCACCGGTCATGCTAAATAATAATGCATACACCATGTGTAAGAACTATACTATACTAAAACTTATGTAATTGAAACAGAAATCTCTAATTTTCTGTTCCGTGTATACTCCCGTTTTCACTTTCTGTATTTTATTTATGCAGTTCTCCCGAAGGGACTTGATGATAATAATTTTCCAACCGAAATAGAATGAATGTAAAAAAAACGTAAATGTTTTATAATTTCTCTTGAGTTTATTTAAGATGAATTTTAATACCAAGAGAAATGCTCGACGGAGTTTTCGCTCCACCCCTCAGGACAAGATGAAGGACGCGAATACATTCCGAGCACCTGGTACTCCGCCAAAGTACCACAGCGATGGCGGCAAGAATGGCTAATTGTTATGCAAAATTTAATTTCAAACGAAAATTTACCTTTTGCACAAGAGGGCGCTTTAATTACCCCTTTTTACGACAAGTTTACCGAACGTTCGGGACAGTGCTTGGAGGAGGGTAGAGGTACGTCACTGCCACCAGTTATACACAACTCGGGCGTTTTTAATTAGGTCTTGGTACCGACTCGTTTTACTGGAGGAAACTTTTCTGCGACAAACATCCGTATCCAAATGGATAAATTACATTGCTAGTTTATGCTCCCTCGATGAATGAAATTAAATTTCAGAAATTCTCTCGCGTGCCATAATAAAACAAAGAATTCCAAACAATGACAGTCCTACTGGAACAACACGTGTACCATAGAAGTTAATACTGGAATTTTAACAACACAGTATACGTTCCTCGAGTTTGAAATCAACGTTTATATGTACACAAAACAACGACGGGCGGTTCAATGTATGTACAGCACATACATTTAAATCAGACACATATCAACGAAACAATAAGCATTACAATAGGCGTGTAATGTCGAACGATCTCCGTGTGTTTTTCTGTACGATAGCCAGTTTTTAAAATTGACATAATTTCTCGAACGTGCGGTGAAAATCATCACCCTATTTGCTATTAAGTTATACTATTATACTTGCACAAAAAGTCAACGTGTGCAAATACAAGAAAATGTTTTATATACTATAACACACGCAGGTACGTACGTTGATTGTTTCGTGTCGAAAACACTAGCATTCACAATTAAGTAATTGCTCTAGAAAATAAATATTAAACAGCTCAGCGTTCTTATTACGTTGTGCTCCATAATATCTACCCGCTTGGTATATATTTACCCGAGAAAATCGCAAAACGTAATAATAAATATTAAAAAAATGTGCTGATGACTTACCGTTAGATGTTGAAATAACCACGCGCGCAGTATATTGGTGGCCACTTTTGGGAAAATACCTCTTTTCTTTTGATTCTTCTTTCCGCCGCTTGGATCATCGTCATCTTCTCCCGTGCCATCTCCACTGCCAACGCTGGCGTTACTCGCATCACCTACGAAAAAACGAAAAATTAACTATAAATTAATACGATTTTTCGTTACTGCAGTATACCACAAATACAATTTTTTTCTATTTCACACGTTTATTGTTCATAACTTATACATATACGATTTATTTTCAATAGAAGAAAAGTTCAAAATTACCAAAATAATGCAATATATGAAATAAACATTGTACACATATATGCTCAAAGATGAAATACGGTTTTCTAAAAACAATCTACTGTAATACCGAACGTACTTTACTTATGACTTTTTTTTAATTAAAAAAAAAAAAAAAAAAAAAAATGAAAAGAGCCTACGGTTATAAATTCTTCTGTCTGCGCGTGCAATTGGTAATTTTACGGAAGTTAGGGGTCGTGGAGCTTGTAGCTGCCGCCGTTTCCCCGTGCCGGCGGCGGTGGGTAAACGTGCACCGTTGCTATCAGATTCACTACAGAAGGTGATCAATCACTGCTGCACTACTACCCCTCAATCTCTCATTCCTCTTTCTACTCACTTTGCCGGCCGGAATACGCTCACACGCACACACACTAACCTCCCACATAAAATATTCGCACACGCGCGCGTGCACACACATACATTCACACACAATCAAAACAATATCTCTGCTCGCATTCTCTCCCTTACATATTTATATATGTATATATATATAGATGGTACCTTTTACCAGGTTCCTCACACACACACACAAACACATTCTTAGTGGTGACGGCGGATAGCGCTGTACAACACGACCGATAAGGGACCACGTGCACACTACAGACTTTGTGCGAGACCGTTTTATTTTCGATACCGTTTTTCGACAAAATTCAAAACGTTATTCAGCTGAACTATTTTTCGTATACACCAGCGATAACGAGAAATCGTCGTCCAATTCGACGATGGTCGGTTAAAAGAAAACAAATTTAACATCAAGTAACGTTTTACAAAGTTGACGATAACAATTTCATACAAATTCGCCAGCGTATATGTTCTCATTATAAATGTGTGAGTATGTGTGTGCTTTTGTATATAAAATAAAAATAAATTATAATAATAACAGAATGTGCATTCAGAGCGTTGTTTTAATGTTGACTGTAGATAAAACAGCCACGCTGCACACTGTGTCAGATAAGAAAGTCGGTGGTTGGGGCATAAACATATTATACGCCATAGTAGTGTGTAATGACTCATACACACTAAATAAACAACAGCGGCGGTAGTAGTGGCGGTGGAGTGGAGTAAAAACTGTTTATCTAATGGGTTTAGGTGTTTGTTTGTATTTGATTGGATTACAATATTATATCCGAGGGACTGACCCCCTAAACACATTAGGAAGGAAGGGTTATCTCTCTCGACCGCGCGTCGTTGTGGCGGACCCGTCGTCCCGTATCATTGTCAGAGTTCAACTTTTGAATTTGTAATTTATTATAAGTTAAGCTGCACCAGCATGTCCCCTTTCTAATGCGTTTTTGTTGCACGTCAATTAAACACGGTTTTTGTTCTAACGACTTTTTTCGTTTTCAGATTATCCTATGTGGAATTACACATATACAATCATAAACACCTCACTGAAGTAAAGTTTATCGAAATCATCGCGTCCCCGTACATAACATAGGTACTGTGTGTAATCACCACCTGTACACCTAATACATCGAAAGTGAACCGTATCGCGTTTTTCAAATCATTCTGGATTTACGATGCCAATAATCGTTCATTAAATTTTGATTATAATATCTGATAATGTGAAAAGGTTAACGATTACACAAATGCAAATGATTCTTGTGCGTACGCCGCGAGTACCAATACAGTCGATGCATCATGATGCAGGTTATGAGGATTGGTCAAAGAAAATGGGCGGCGGCATGTTAAACGGACAAGAGAAAACGAGTTTATGGGCAACGACTCTTTGAACAAGGCAGCCATTAAAAACTAAAAAAGAAAATAACAAGTAATGAAATCGAACGCGGTGCGCACAAGCACAAGTTGAAATTACATGCACATAAACGTATATATATATATATATGAAATATATTAATATCAATATTACGACATAGCCTCAAACAAAGTGATTGACTATAATGAGTTGAACTCACAAATAATGTATGGACATTTTTATATATACATGTATACACACTAGCAACGCAATGTTTATAACGACTAATGAGTAGTGGTAAGCTTATATAGAAGGTAGTTATAGTAAGAAGTTATATATTATTATATTCTAGTTATTTCCGCTAAATGTATAAATACGTTGTGTGTATAATAATAGTAATAATAACAATCGTAAAATAGGTGCAGTTGTAAGTTAAACAGTTATTATTAAAAACACTGTAACACATGTAATGGTAATATAATAATAATAATAATAATATAATCTTAATCGCCGTTTAAAGAGTACACCGTTCGAAGGGGTAGAGATTCGAACATAGCGACACAGTGTGTAAGAAAAAAATCTCGACCCCTGAGGTCCGTGTATTAAAAAATAAAATAATAGCGTTAAAAATTACTCGAAACTCTTATAAACGGAATATTATTGTAATACATCAACGTTAATGTCGAGAGAGAATTAACCACAAAAAGATGATGATGATGATAATGATGATGATGGCGGTGCCTTCGAGATGTAACAAGAAAAAAATAACAACGACGACGACGACGACGAAAAGAACGACGAGAGCGAGCGAGAGAGAATCTGGCCACCAACACCATAATATGATTAAGGTCAAAAAATGCCTGCAGACCGACAACGACCCCGACTGTCTATGGAATATATTATAAACGTGCGACCAACGCGAGTTTAATAATTTAATGTAAGCCATTTATGGCTATAAAGATTAAAGAATGTTATTCACTACGTCATATATAGATGTAAAAAGAATCTATGTAACTTTAACAAACAATGATGTCGATACGGTACGAGTTATATTTTTGGAAAAACAATCTATTTCCACTGCTTATTTTTCTCTGAACAGTACATGGTTTATTCAAATAGAGTTTATTGGTAAGCACGCATAAATTGTACGCGGTTAATCAAAATAAACAACAAACACCTTCCAAATACATTGTTGGGACATACATCGTTGTATCTATTATCGAAATAAAAATAAAAATTTGTCTGAGATGCGCAAAATGCAGAATTTTACCGTCCATATTGTTGAAAATAAAACGTTGCCAAAATTTAAAACTATGTACAGGTACCAGCAGCAAGTTTTCCGTTTTTTCGGTTCCGATCAAAATGAAGAAACGTTAGTTTTTTTAATGGGTCTTTTTTTTTCCTACAGAGAACACTTTTTAGAACAACAAAATGTCCCAAATGTTTCATTTAGTCTACACGATTTTGATATAAAATTGGCACATCAGAATAATAAAAATGTTGCATTTATTTTTCCGGAGATAAAACAAATTCTGCACAGTTATATCATACGGAACTTTGTCGTCTAATTTACCGTGTGTACGTTTTTAAATAACCAAAATGTGTTAATAGTTATAGAGTTGTAAGTGGGATTTAAAATCAAAAACTTTTTTAAAAATTCGACAACACACCCAACACCTCTGGTGAACCACTGGAAGCTATATAACTGCGCAGTAGTGCGTTTAGCTTGTGAAAAATGGTTCCCCTTTTCCCTGCAGAAATATTTTTATATTTGATAATACCGGTCGTGGTGCGGCAGCAGTGTTTGTTGTGTGTAATACACACACACACACACACACATATATTTATATACATACACATTTTTTTTCTTCAGACTTAAGATAACTACAATATTATTTGATATAGTACTATACGCAGCAGAGGTAGTATAGTTAACGAAAACCGAAACGAGAATAAAGGGGTGACCAGCGTTCGTTCATTTCCTGGCTGTCACCAACACACCTCCGTTTTACCAGTGGTCCGGTACGTGCGCATACACCACCTCCGTTCTGCACACACAATCCCCCTATTCCTACCCTTATATTGAATGGTACATACATATATATATATATATGTATACAATAATTGAGACCTCCTCACTTTATGGGCTGTTTTTGATATCATCGTCGTCGTCGTCGTCGTCGTCGTCGTCGTTGCCGTTGCCGTTGTCAGCCTGAAAACGGTACGCACGCACCACCGAACCACGCGCAGTATAGCTGTCACGTGCAGCAAGTATAAAAAGGAAATAAGTACAAACGAAAAAATCCTCAAGTTCCGCCGGTTGTGGTTACAAGTACCATAATCGTATTTTCACTTCTGGCCCTTTACGCCGCACACACATATGCCCGTAAATATATACCTTGGCAGCCTCTGCAGGATATTTCTATGCCCGTATGTTTGCCGTACTGTGCACCAAATACACGCGTACGGTTATTCGATATACATCGACAATAATACATATAATGGACGTTTTTATTTTTCTCGTTACAAATGGAAATTGAATATACACGATAATATAGTACGAAGCGCGCGTTTGGTGAGTTTAGGTTGCCATATTTAAACGATACAATATTATACAAACCATACACGAGTGTACGTTTGTTAATTTCACTCGCAACGGTATTTTATTTAGTATTAAGTATTTACACAGACCTGTACGACCGCGTTATGGCTTTATGGGACGAGATATTATAATTCCATACACTATGACGCATAATTTTAATAGAAAAATGTTATTTCTTCAGTACCGACAACGATAAGTAGGTATATTATTTTGAATTTTCCAGGCTAACAAAGGGGTTTTTTAGACGAGCGTTTCGTGTTTCTCCAAGTTCATGTTCAAAGTTTCTTCTTATATGTTGATTGGTCAATCAATCTCTTTCGGGATATACGAAGCAGCAACAACAGTAATTGGCTCCTCCGAGACCAGTTGGACCCCGCCGTACCGCTACGGTATAGTTATCCCTCGGGAGTTCTATTATCATCGTTATATCCGATGTATCCCACTCGTTCCGTCTCAATCTCTCTACCTCGCTCTCTTTCTCTTGGCCGCCACCATCTTTACACCGTTAATACAATATCGTATTCGACTATTATTAAAAACAAAATAATAATATGAAAACCCAATAGCGACAAATTTCGACCAACTGAAGAAACACGAGACGTGCCGTTGCAGCATAGGAGCGCGGTGTCGGTCGAATAAATCGTACGGCGAGAAGCGACCGCCGAATAATTATGTTCAAATAGGTCGCGATGCGAACCGCGCAATACTGGTTTTGGTGTACACTTTTAGTTCAGGTGGTGCGGATACACGAATTCCGTCTGGAAACCGTCGAAACAACGCGGGTACGGGCAACGCAGACTATATCAATAAACTACTGTGCGGCGGATGTGTACTTAATACCTCCTAACTGCGTGTTGACACAGACGCGACTAAAATCAAACAAACAGCGATAACCATGTAATGAGCAACGGGGGCGTGCGCGCCGTATCATTTACGATAAACGTATTACGCGTACGCCGGGACGCACATTCCGCCGATGATATCCGAACACGTTTTGAAAAACGGAAATCGCACGTATTCGGGCATATATATTGTTTGTATACACATCAGAAACTATTATATTAATAAACTTATATTTTTTGGGTACACGCACGGTTAGCAGATTACATTTCGACGGAACGTGTGCACGTTCTCGCCGCGTTCACGCGGGTACGGAATAAAAACGGCAAGACGGAACGCGCGCGTTGTACCGTCGTCGGCGGTGGCGGCCGAAAATGTGTATATACGCGAGAGATGGATGGCCGCCCGGTTGACTGCGCACGGCGCTCGCGCGGTCCAGGTTTTCCATGGCAACGACTACAAGTACTGGCAAACCGGGAAATGTTTCCTCGCTCATACCTACCCTCTGTCCCTCCCCGTTCCACTACTATCTCGGATACTCTTTGACGGGGGTTTTCCATTTTTATTTTTTTGTCTTTTTTTTTTTTAATAAAGGGTACAACCGACATAAACGCACGCACGTCAAATGTTCATTTTAATGGCGATCCAGTAGACCTCTATTGACGGTCAGTAAATACTTTAAATCGCGTGGTCTTTCGTACACACATACTGTATACATGATATATATATATATATGAATAGGTGTATACACTTTGAGCGTCTGGGAAAAGATGAAGCGAGAAAAAAAATAAGATTTAACTCGAGAGGCATTTACCTCGCGTTGCTCTTTCGGACAAATTATTCTACCGGCACAGCGGGTGATCAGATATTGTGACGGACTTAATATTATAAACATAAATACTTACACGAGTTGTAATCATTTGGGCTACCGCCGAGGAACACAGATTGATACAGAAGACCGCGTTTCGCCGCTTCCGCGGCCGATGCCGCCCGGGCGTCTAATGGTGGAGGCCAATCTCGCCTTTGACACCATTTACCTGAAAAAACAAACACGTCTACGTTAACGTTTGTGTGCCAAACAATGTCTAAACAATACGTTGTAAGTGATTGTTGGGGGAAAAACCGTTATTTTTCAATCCTGAAACAAATTTGTTAGAATTATCAAATAAACACGATGTAAGAGCCTATATATGGAAAAAAATTAATAATTTTACGACGATAACAAAACTTCACTTAATCTGATAGTAATCTGACTGAATAATAATATTTTTAATAATCTATAAGTGTGCGTCTGTGTTGCGCATTCGTAGGCATGTAAGTATAAAGACACGTATATCTGTGGCTGTGTGAAGAAAGAATTAAGTTGGACAAGACAACCTATAATTTTAAAACTGGTATTTTTAAACGCGTAAAACGTTAAAAAAAATAATATCTGTCATGTCCATTTCGACTGTTACGAGCTGTCGTTCGAAGGGGTATTTATTTGTATTTATGGGAGGAGATTTCAAAAGCGATAATTACGAGTTAGAAAAAAAATCTATTAAAACCACTACAATCGTATACATTATTTTATACTTACAGTGATAATAAAGAATATATACAATTTTTATCTATGTTTGTGTGTGTGTGTATACAATCCTGTGTATTACATGAATGTGGTCATAAAAAAAAGAGTACTACACGAAGTTCCTATAATTATTTATTTGTTTCAAATCTATAATAACAATTATTATTACATCTACAACAATGTACTGCTATTAAATAATATTATATTTTAATATACAATAATAATATATTGCAGTATATAATAAACACCCGTAGTATAATGTCGCGCTCGAAACGTAATAACATAGGGGTATTAATTATATAGTATGGTATGAAAATCGATGATACGCGATTTAAAAAAATATTATTTTTACTATTATGTTCTTTTAATTTGAAAATAGTTAAAGATAAATTAATGATGGAAAATATTTAAAAAAAAAAAAAGAAAAAATCCGGTCACGTCATGACTTTGTGTTGCCAGATGTCGTGTATTTGGTTGTACTGAATACAAAATGTGCCATCACCCGTCATCAAATTTTATATGCACGTGTGTGAACAACACGCCGCTTATTATTCTACAACAAATAAGGCCAAATGTGTGTATTTTGTAATATTTTATCATACATAGAAAGCGTGTAGAAGAGAACTGTATACGGACCGATGTCCGATGAGATACGCGGTATTTGTTCTCGAAAAAAAAAACATAAAAGAGACAATATTGACCTCCACATATTATACATATTATAATATTCCACAGTGTATAATGACTAACGTTACGTTTTTTTTTTTTATTTTTTTTTTTTTTAATACAAACGTTCGAAAACATATTTTACCAAATTCAAACGAAAAATTACACGTTCAGTACCTATATATATGACATATGGGTTTACTGTTTAAAAACCGAATAGAACGTAATAACAAAATAATGTACAACGTTATTTTCTTATTCGAAATGATTTCACGTACGGAAATACTACTGGTAAAAGTATAATATTGATGATTGGAAAAAAAAAATTCCCCGAAAATATTTAAATCATTATAAATAACGATGTAATTTAATATTTATCATTGTTATTATTATTACCTTTTGAGCGCTTAAAGATTAACATTTTTCAAAATAATATACGTCGAAATTCCCTTAGGCAGTTGCTGTGCAGCAGAAACCTCCAAGTCAACCGCACTTATACCACAGTACTCTTTCTCCTTCGGACTGCATGCAGGTATTCCTACTGCGATGTCGACCTTCTATGTATATATATAATGTTTTTTAAGAATATATTCCCATAAATCAATTTGTTATTTTTCGAATACGAAAAAAAAAATGTATATACATACACCACATAATATTATGTATGTGGTTAAATTTTAACAGCGAGAGGCTTCGTCGATTCGAAACGAGTAAAATAATAATAATAAAAACGCTCCAAGCTGTCAGCCGACTAATAAAGTCTATGTGTGTGTATATGACTATAAATGCAGTATATATTATACACGTATCATAAAGTGTGGGGGGAGGGTTACGGAAAAACTAAAATAATTTTAATAATAATATTATTATAATCGTTATCATTATCGTTTTTTATTACTACTATTATTATCATTATTAATATTGTGATTATTATTATTATTATTATTATTATTTTTATATTCCAATGGTACTGTAATGCGCGCAAGTTACAATGATTGACAGGTGTTTTATTTTATTTTTTTTTCCGAGAGAGGAATATAATATATATATATATATATATACACGGTACCCCAGGAGAAAGACGTACGCGATACGTCCATGCGTCTCTCGCACGCCAATCCTGGCACGGAGTACGTACCGAGTCAAGAGGTCAAACTCATACCTCTGTCGAGCCGGCGCGAGGAGTGGAAGTTCTCTGACAACGTGCGCACGCGAAACGGACGCCCTCGTGACGACCATGATCACGACGACTACGACGACTACACGATGATGATGATGTTGATCATTATAAAGATGACGGTGTACTAAAATTACGGGGCTGGGTGCGCGCGCGCGCGGTGGTAATAAAAATAATAATGATAATAATAATAATAATAATAATAATAATAATAATAACGATGATGATGATAATAATAATAATACGAACTAAAATTCATTTTCTAAAACTAGTTCTATTATTTCTATACGAAGCGCATTACATACATTACGATATCGTATAAATGTACAAAGTATATAACGGGCTCTCATCCACATCGGTCAGCGCATACACTCGTATATAAATTATATAATATGCGCGATGATGATATACCGACTGTGTTGTACAGCGTACTCGAAAAGTACGAGAAACCTTGACGGGACTAATCGACTTTTACAAAGTTTTCAAACTCGACGGGGTGTACACACCGTATAATAATATGTAAATACAATATAATACGTTTAAAAAAACGGTACGCATGTATAATATATTTTAATGTTTTCATTAAGAATAGAGAACACGACTGGTCACGAATTTTGGACATTTAAAAAACTCTATACTTGGCTCTATGTCGTCTTCGCGTCAAACCATACTCTCTCACACACACACACACACAAACGCGCGCACATATATATAATACGTGTTTTTTTTTTTTTTGTTCGTATTCATAATATATTCTCTGTACAAAACGCTGTACACGATAAATTCTTATTCACAATAGTATGATGAACGCAAAACAAAACTCACGCGGTACACACACACACACACACACGAGTCGCCAATTACGACGAAAGGGGATTTTTAGATTTTTGTTCTCTTCTAACAAAAGATATAAGATAATCGTATAAAAAAAAAAAAAAAAAAAATGAATTGAAGGCAAGAAAAACACGACCACGGGCATTGCAAGAAAACTGTCTCCATTCTCTTTTGCGTAGACTCCTTAAAAAATTACCATACAATAATCGCCGCCGCTGTCGTCGTCGTCGTAAACAGACTAACGAATAACATTATTTCACATACGAGTATACAGCGGTAATTACCAACACCATATACATAAATATATATATATATATATATATACCTACTACTTATGTGTACATAATATATTGTTTGTGCGAATGGCATATGTATGTGTGTGTGTGTGTGTGTGTGTGTGGCTAGCGAATACTTTTACGTAGGTATACGCAATTATTATTAGTAATACATAAACAATATTATTGAAACCTTAAAAGCGTGCGCTGAAAGTTATTTTTATTACTGTATTGTGTACATGCAAATAATATATAAAACGCATGGGTGATTCGTTAACGGTTTAATTCGTTCCGGCAATATTGATGGTTTTGATTTCTGTCAGACGTTTCAAATATATTGCGGTTGTAAAGATAGGTTGAGTTCACGAGATCGAACGTGGAAAAAAATAATATTATAAATCATAATTAACCCGGAGTTTGATTTACTCCTCCCTCCGTCAATCACCGCTCCGAGTGTGTTTTACGTTTCATCGGTAAAACATTTTTATCCGGATGACGTATTACCCGTACATCGTTATTGTTATCATCAGGTTTTTGTTCGCGCGGTATCAATGTGAAAATATAGATCATTTTCGTTCCACACAATTTCTTCCTAATTTCCTACACGACCCACCGACAATAATCATAATATATCCGGTTTTTAAATTTATATTACTTACAAATATCTTTGTCCGATTAGTGCCTGGCATTTAGTGTGTATACTTCTACGCGCGTTATTTACGCGGGATTCGAACGGAGCATTACTACGGCCCCGACGCCGCGCGTAGATAGATAACCAACACCGTTGCTGCCGAGTTAAATGAGCCATCACAGGCTTTATACATGTATATAAATTATTTTTTATTTTTTTTTAATTCTATAAAGAAATAAAAAGAATTCGTTCTTGGTGGTAATCATGGGAATTATATATATATGTGTGTGTGTGTGTGTGTGTGTGTCATTTTATTGTGTCTGTTGCCGGAAGACACCCACCCATTTACTACAAGCTACGACGATGATTTTCTCCATGGTTTTTCTCATCGTCGTGTACTGTTTTGTCGTGGTAGAATAATCGCGAGTACACTTTAACAGCTTCCGGCGTTTTGAATATAATATTTTCTTTTTGTTGTGCACCGCATTACCTATCCTAAATAGTGTACGCCTGTACTATTTATTGAAGATAATGCAAAAATAAATGTATAAAAATATTACGACAAACTGTCAACACCGCGGTGAACGCATACGCATTAATTACGGTAAAATATCAAAATCGTCGCTATACACAAGGGCACATAAAACATGAAACGTGAATTTAGTAACAATAACCTATTAGATAAAATATAACAAAATTCTCGAAGAAACCTTATGTAAAATCAAGTTTCGTGTTACAACAACACGACCATAAGGGTTTTTATTTAATTTAACTGCATTAAGTAGGTATGATTATTATGCGTACGCATGATCATGAAAATTATTTTGCATATAAAATTCGTTTTGAATTAAGTTACAAAATTGTTTTTATTTTTTTCAACACGCTAATGAATAATCAACAATTTTCTTTTTCTAAAAATAACATTTCAGATTACGTATGTAAAATATATTATACTTTTCAATTCTTCTAGCGGCGAGTCTGTATAAAATACATTCATTTACGCGTAATCAGTATAATTCACGTTTATGCTCCGTTTATACTCCGGCGGAAAACATAAAATGTTACGTTTTAATAAGAAAAAATGATGAATATGTACACAGATATATTTTTGAAAACTGTCGAAAAATATAAGAAAATCAAGGTTTAATCTCAAAATTAGTCCCTGTGTGAAACCGAAACCGAAGTACTTTGTTTGGCCTATACTGACATTAATAAGGGATATTAATGTTTCTTGTTTTTGCGGTGACCGAGAATCCACGAACACGATCTCGCCAATTCAATTACAGTTGATGGATTTTTGTTGTAGTACGATATCTATATACGTCGATACATACATATATATATATATAAATAATATAAAAGTATAGCCCCTCAAATAACAGTGCGTGTACTTTGAAAACAATAGACGGGAAATATATATTTATATCAATTAGCCCAATGTCTTCGAACGGGTTTTTGAAAATAAAAACCCTGAGCCGAACCTACGGGAAACCTAACCGTACGAGAAAAGTCGAAGATGATATAAATTATAATTAAGTATACAAACTCGAAAATTAATTCACATAGGATTTACGTAGGTACACTGATGTGTATACTAGTCGGTGCACGGTTTTGAATAAACGTTAGATATGCATACGCGATATCGTTAACGATTTGTTTTTTCGTATTAAACACAAAGTCGTAATTCCGATTGAGCGGTTTCGGTTTCCCGTTTGGTACGTAAGATACCGCGCGCAAATAAATCACGAAAAATCATTTAGCGGCACATAAAAGACATGCCACCGGCGACGACGACGACGACGACGACAACGGCAAAAACAATAAAGATGACGATAATAACAATAATAATTCGTAGTATACTATAGGAAGAAAAATTATGTTATTATAATTGAAATGGTTAACAAAGCGATGATCGTTGCGTGATCGCGAGGTGTACAATTGCCCGGTCAGTTGTATCATATCCTGTAATTACGCGTGTCTCGTAATGCCATAATGACATTAATCTTTTGACATGATGACTACGGCGAGGATGGACGGATGGAAACACACGGAACGTAGCAACTAACTCCCTGTCGACGGCGCAGCGATTCGACAAAAATACGTCACGCCATTTACTGCTGCGGGAGGTGGCAATGGTGAAACCACCAATTACCATTACATGACCGTGGTAGGCGCGTATAACGTAATAACTGTAATTGTTTATTTTACAATCGTAATTTTGGGGTACATCAAAATGTGTCGTCGAGAAATGGACTTGCGATGGTGCCTAAACTCATGGTTCCCGCCCTTTCGATGTTCCCCGTATTATATTTTTATCGCACGTTTTCCTACCCCCCGAAAATAAGTGATAAAAACAGAGATCCCAAAAGAAAAAAACCTTTCAATTCATATTTATTGCAATGCCGTAGATAAACGGGACTTTTAAATGTTACGATGATTTCTAAATATTGGTATTTTCGTTCGAATCGCCACACGAATATATAATTTTGAATCAAAATAAAAATTACTCTGAAGTTATAAAGTTTTAAACAGTTCATATGAATAGTAGTTGTATATATTTTTATATCTTAATTCGTATAAATGAAACAACGTACGTTCCTAATTCAAATACTTCATAGAAAAATAACCTTTCTTAATAAATATTTTTAAAAAACTCTGCGCTCATTGATGTTACGATTAATATATTTAATTGATTGCAAAATAAAAAAAAAAAAAAATGTAAATAATTGAATTGAAATATACAGCCATACAATAAGATCCACTAGCCGCATTGATTTGGCGATGAAAGTAATATCAGTTAATTGTAACACGGCGCCGCGTCGTGCAGTACGATATAGCGCGTTTATATTATTGTAATTAAGATCAATCACTATAATCGAATATTAATTAGAAAAAAAATTCATTGTTAATAACCAAAATCGATCGTGATCGTAAAATTGAAACCAACAGTTTACCAATGTTTAACGTTTCCTTTCGGTCCGTTCACAAGTTGCCTGCTAATTTATTTATTATTGTTTGTAATAATTTTGTGTTGTACGGCTCTCGTAGTTTATGCGTCGATCGTCGACGACAAGCAATCTCACGAGTTTTTCCACGTGTAAATAATACCGTGTAGACGTGATATTATTATCGTTACTGAATGCGTTTTGTCACGCGACTTGGTCACACACACACACACACGCGCGCGCGCGCTCGCGGGTGCAGCCGAAAAAAGTCGATATTATTTTACGAAATATACTAAATATTGCGTCGAGCTTTTGATACCTGCGACCTTTTACTACCTATTTGCTAACCTTCCTCCTTAATAACTCGTGTTACAAGAGCATAATGTTTTATAGATGTTGTGCGAAATAATATTATTAATGAGTTAAACGTCCGCCGTGCATGTACATAAAAAGTATACATATGTTGGTATAAATAAAAACTTGAGTCGAAGCTACCGTAGCAGTGTTACACGAAAATGTACGAAACACGATGGGTATCAACACCAGATAATTATAATAATAATAACAATAATAATATATTCGTTTCGAAATTAATTAAAATTTAATTATCGACAGTGAGTATCATGTAAAAATATGATGATTAAGCAGACGTTGCATTATTTTTCCGGTTGTAGTGGGCGTGTTCCATTCAAATTTTTACCTGCACAGTTCTTTAACGCTGTAGTGTTGGTAAAAATACTGCTGCATCTAGATCCTTCAACATCTCTTTTTTTTTAACGTTGTGGTTTTTAATTGATTCATCTTATATCCACACCACATATTACACGAAAGCAATACGGATTAGAATAACTGATGTTTTACACGACGTAAATTCGGAAGGATTCGGGATTTCGTATCTCATTTTACTACATTTTTTTTTTTTTTTTTAATATTCGTATAGCGTACATATTATATACAGCGCATATGTAACGGATTGAAAATACGAAGAAAAAAAAATGAAATTATTATTATTTCGGTATACCTACTGAATAATAATGAAGAATGCATTACGCTCAAATACGTTTACCGACTAATAGAAAAAAACAAAATAACTCGCGGCCCACATTTGTTGGGACGAGAACGTAAAAATATTTCACCTTAAGTTTTTTTTTTTACTTTTTATTGTTTGCCGTGTGTAGACTTTAATTTCGGTTCACGACAATCCCCTTGCCCCGGGGAAATATAATAGTATATACATAATATAGACCACTATCACGTAAATGGGTCTTTCTTCTCTCCGTCATCCCTTCTCTAACATCTTCACACACACACAAACATATACAATATTATTGTACGTCATGCATAAAACTAAATACATACATAAATACATACACACACATAAACAAAAACTTAGTTTTATATACATAAAAAAAATATATATATATATATACGAGTATCTACTGCGCAACGGCGGTCACGAAAACATATAATTCGATAAGTGAAAATATCGACTGCGTCCCTACTTTACCACTACTGACACCGCTGCCCCGCAAAAGCACTTAGAAAAAGAACAATGAAAAAACATAATCCAATCCATTCGCTTAATAAATTAAAGGGCGCTGACGGTGTTTTTTTATACTTATAAAAGTCTAAACAACGTCATTTTTGGGCGTAATTCGTTTAGATCCATTAATATTATTGTATTTTATATGTACAAGTAATATCTATAATAATATTAAGTCGGACGTTTTCAAAAATAACTTACTATACGTATACATCTCGGTCGAAACGCGCAAAGTTCGCATCGTATAGTCGTGTATTTAATACGAGATTTGAGATAACGCATAACGGACGAAATAAAAACGAACTATGTAGGTAAGTATATTATCTATTTGATTTTTTTTTTTTTTTATGCCAAGGTTAAGTACCGAGTGTGTAGGTAGAAGAAGTGTACTGCGTGTTCCTATACAATGCACCAAGTCGAGTTAGTCATAAAAATAAAACGATTTAACAATGTCAATTCGTCGAGATAAAGCTATAAAAACAGATTGGTCAATAACGATAAACAATGATAATAATACGGGAAGAAAGTTGCACCGCGCGTACATGACGAGAGTTTATATGTATTGCAATCAATTTGAGGGCAGCGCACGAGCAATCGGGCGAAAAAAAAATAAACATAAAATAAAACCGAAAAAAAAAATAAAAATGTATAAAAGGGGAACTGCCGCGTACACACAAGTTGATTGACTTAAACGTAGCTTTGTTCTTTTAACCACACGAAACACACAGCGTGCAGTCGCACAACGCGGAAAACCGCACACATTACGCGCGCGTGTGTGCGTGCATGTACATAGTAGTAGTGAGCTGGTGGTACGTTATACGAGTCGCCGCAGCCGCCGTGCACATACAGAATGAATGAATGTGGATTTTTTTTTTATTCGATTTTTTTATTCCACGGGTTTGGCAAAGAGAGCGAGAGCGAAAAAATGCAAAACCGTACTGTTTACGAGTGGAGGAGGAGGAGGAAACGTGACTTGAACAGTCAAGACGGATTTAATGGAACTTTTCCATCGCGCTGACGATAAAAACCCCTACCTATACAATAATATATGATGACGATGGCGCGCGGGCAAAGGAAAACCCGAGTGAATATTCGTTTTCGATGGGAAAAAAAAAAAAAACTACGAGTCGTACACTACATTATATGTTTTGATATTATTGATAACGAACGGCACGGCGACGTGGTGAGTAAAAAAAAAAAGGCGCGCGGTCAGCCGTTCGTTTCGAATCTGTACGTTGCTGCAGACCGGCCTGTACACGGAATATAATCGTATGCGTGCACGTTACTTACCCGAGTGCGTTGTTTGACAGTAACGTTTATCGACAAATCGTGTACACTTACCCAATTCTGAAAAGAAAAAAAATTGTCATTAATCCGTTCGGTCCAGAAACACACCGGAGAAGACGGTGTGGAAACGAGCTACAAACTACAAATATACACCCTCCGGGCAAGAACGTTTTACCATCGTCCGTGCACACGTTAAGCACACAAATACGTGTACAATCGATTTTAATTATTATCGAAAATAATCGGGTTTTTTCCCCTACATTCCCCCCCCCCCGACCACGTAACGTTTCATTCCGGAGTAGCGTTACGGTGACGGCATAGGCGCGTACATTGTACGCGCGCACGTATACGCACACGGAAGAGCAAGTAAGTAGTCGAAACGTAGGCGTGGCCGTCGTCATGACGCAAGATAAAAATCGCACTTGTTTCCACCATAGGACCACCGCGCGCTACGTTCCGTACTACGTCTATATAACGCGATGGGCGTTGTTGTTCAACGCTGCTGCGGTACGCGTGTGTGTAAAGAACGTAATAATTATTACCGTTATTGTTGCACGCGCATCAAGTACGTGCGGCGTACCTTACATAGTTGTTGCAGGCGCGAAAATACGGCCCGGCGGTAGAGCGCGGAAGAAGCGAAACGGATCGGGTGGTGCGAGGACGGGGATCGACGGAAACATGTAACAAAAACGTCAACTCTTGCCACCCCCCCCCCCCCCCCCCCCCCCCC